TTTTCTAACACACTACCAAATGTTTAACATTTTTAGAGTATCTTTATATTAATGAGTGCTGCATCACAGGGTTTTGGGGGGTCTGGAAGATAATTTGTGTTTCAGTTCATTTCAATGAGGAAAATGGATTCAAACATGAATAATTCAATTTAAGAGCTCCATCACGGAACAAATGAAATTATATAGAGGCACCAGCAGGGGTGTTTTTAGGGTCTTAAAACACTGGGGACTGTAGCCCAGGCTCTGAGTAGTTTTATTTTCATAAGACAGCAGACCTGTTTATAAGTCATTCAGAATGAAACAAATATAGGATAGTTGTACAAGTTATCTGCCTTGGCTGGGTGTTCATTAAATGTAAATTATGTAATAAAAAATAAAATATTTACAGTAAATTGACTTGGTTTTAATAGTTTTGTTTGTAGTTGAAGTATAGGATAAATAGTAGTAGTTTACAATTAATGAAAAAATATCTTGTTGATGCAGATTGTGATATTTAGAAAAAAACAGACTTTGCTCATTCCATCTGACAAAAGTTGTTCTTAAACTCAGAAAAACTATGTTTCTGGGCTTCTGTTCTCACCTAAGTAAATTACTAATAAAATTTTTTAATCCACTCATCAAATTGTTTTATTTCTGAGACTCCAAGGTCTTAATGTCTTACATTTGTAAATTAGAAAATGTTATAAAGTTGATTTTCTTGAGTCTCAGTCAAATGGTGAGATCCTTAAATAACATTTATTTGTTTTCCAAATGTTAAACTGAAATTGATTCTCTAAATATGTTCCTTCTGTTTTACTACCGTCTTTCCAACCCTTCATTTTACTTGTGAAGAAACTATTTTCATTTGGCCTGCAAAAACTAAACATTTCGTCTGTTCTCCACTGAGCATTTGAGTCATTAATGGAGTCTTTAGTATTAAATACTAGCCTCATCCTGGACCTTTCTTAGACTCTCATATTTTGTCATATTATCAGTATTAATATTACAGTTATTAATAACTGTTCAATAACATGATATGTATGTATTAACTTGAGGAAAAGTGTATCTTTTAATGACTTTAAATAATATTACATGTATTATTCACAAAAAAAATTGGTACACCTGTGAGTAATTGTTATAATTTGTTTCTTATTAATCCTGCACCTTTAAACAACCCAAAGTTGTATGTTTAGGATCAGCACAGAATATATGAAAGACGGGATTACTTTTGCACTTCCTACAATGTCTTACTGGCACCAGTACAAACTGTCCCAGTTTATTGAGTATCTAAAACTGGACTGGCAGCAGCAATAAGATCTTTCAATGTGTTCATTTTATTTTATTTTAGGATTAAATGATTTTATTTTGACGGAACAAAAGACCAGATATTTTTCACATTATGATGCAAATCCAGCTAGAAGTCCACAGAGGATTGCTACTGTTTTCTGTCACAGCCAGGCCATTTAACTTGAACTGTTTGCCACTTTGCCTCTCTGCTCCTCATTATGATCCTGATGATGCTCATTGCAGTAAACCTCCACCTCATGTCTTGCTGGGTGAATAAGATTAAAATTAGCCCATTCTGAGCCAACTTTCAGGTTTTACCGCTAACTTCAGTCTGGGTTAAGCCGCTCTGCTTCCACCTGTTTCTGTGCGAACACACCCACCAGACTCCCGCCACTGGCCCTGGACTGAACAGCTGTTCTGGACTTCTCCAGAATGGGTAAATTGTCTGCCTCTTCCTGTGTGCACAGTTACACAATTCCTGTTCTGAGTGTGCACAAATAACCAAGTTTTGGTCATATATATTTTTTTTTTTATTCATTGTCAGGTTAGGTGGAGTGGGCAGTGATTATATGGAAAACAATTAAAACAAATCTGATTGTTTTTAGATAAATATGTGAAGTCTGTCATTTTGGGGATGAATGCATCTTTTTAACAGACATACTACTGGATGTTTTCTTCCATGAAATTCTGGCCTATTCACAAAACATCTAGTGCTTCACCCCCAGAGGCTCATGTCTGACAAAACGCCTGGTTACCACTGTACCTCAGAGCTAGCCTAAACACATGCCCATGGAAGTGTGTCTGCCTGTACATGCATGTGTGAGCGGCATAGAGTCAATATTATCATCAACTAACTGAACACATATATATATATATATATATATATATATATATATATATATATATATATATATATATATATATATATTTAGCAAAAATATATTGANCACAATCACAAAATATATATATATATATATATATAGATATATATATATATATATATATATATATATATATATATATATATTTACCGTACCTATATTTACCCTATGTCTCCTTACAGGAGCATAAAAAGAAAATATGTGATCTGCTTATTAAATGCCTTATTAGAAGTTTTATTGCTGCATGCACACAAGATTAGGTTTCATCACACCCACTGACCACACTGCTCAATCCAGTTTAAGCCGCTCCAGGCTGACACATAAATCTACTGATACACTGAGATTTGTGCTTGGTCTCATGTAACAAGGCGGAGCTAGGAGTATATAATGATGTGTATTCCTTTGTTCAGGGTTCCACCTTCTTCATCTACGTGAGGAGTAGGATTGGGCCCGGGTACCATGGTTGTGCTATTTTTCTGCTTTTCTACATAAAATGTTCGAAATTTAGTTACAGAGTTGTAGTCTGTCATTTATATGTAGGAGACACAGCAAACATGTGGAAGCAGGTGCTCTGGTCAGATGAGACGAAAATGAAGCATTATTACCAACATGCCAACAACCCTGAACACAACTTCCTCATGATGAAACACGGTGGTGGCAGCATTATGCGGTGGTGATACTTTTCTTCAGCAGGGAGTTGGATGGATATAAACAGGTCAATCCTAGAAAAAAAAACCTGTTAGATGCTGCAAAAAACTTGAGACTGAAATGTTTTCATAATTATATAATGTATGCTCAAATTATATTTATCTGTCCAGTTGGGATCTAAACAATAATAAAAGACCAAATTACTTCTTGAACTACAAGAGAAAAACTCCTCGACACTAACTTAAAACTTGAATTTCTTTGATTTTAAATTTGTATAGCACAGCTGCATGTTGCTGGTTAACAGAGAAATAGGAAAGCATTCTTGAGGATCATTAGGTGTTGATTTTGGCTATCATTAAAGACAACATAGTTGCTCACAGAAATAAAGAGAAAGGTGAGCGAAAACAGCTGAGCTGCTGGAGAGGGACAAGGTAGCAGGCAGAGAAGATCAGGGACTTGATGAAATGGAAAAAAGAGCAGAAGAACCAGACCGCTGATAGTTTGGAGGGCAACGATGATCAGGGACACGATAAAGAGAGAGCACAGAAAGAGCATGACACAGAGAAGGAAAAGTCAGATCTCCCACCATTTAAAGAAGGAATCAGAGTGTCTGGGCCATCACTGATTACCTCCATGTGAACTGGACAAAATTCTGTTTAAATTATTACTTACTGCACACTGTGTTCCATCTGAATAAAAAAGCACTACAACAAAAAAATATTCCGCCAAAAAGTGCATTTTAAAAGGAAACTACTTAGCTTCAATCAAATAATTATTTCATTTTATTCTAACAAATATATAAAATTTAATGGAAGGCTACAGGAGGGTCCCTCTCAATTCTGTTTAATTCTTTCCCAAGTTCCATTTTTTTCTTTTTCTTTTTCTTAATTCGATGAAGGACCTGGAGTAGCGCTCCTTCCCGCACTGAGGGTGTCTCAGTTGGCCACTGAAGGAGCTGCTCAGCTCCTCTACAGTACAGTGCAGTGGGTGAGAGGTTATGTCCATGATGGATGTGAGCTTGGCTGATGAAGGCACCAACTCCAAGGTTATGAACTTAAAATAGAAATTCTGGTTGGGTTCTATCTAACCCACCAACCAGTGAAGATGTTCGGGATTTGTTTTTTTACGGTCAATAACCTTTCTTCAGCCTGTTCATCAGGACTATGAAAACAGTGCTGCCGTTAGCGGAGCACATCCAGGTAGCCAAACAAGCTTCCTAAGTTCACTGCAGTGCACCCTTCTTATATTCTACGAATCTGTCATAGTGGACTCCATAAAAACTGAAGTATCTTCATTTAGTGCTTTCCAGTTTAATTTTGATTGATTCTAGCTACATCGCGTACCTAGAGGTGAAAACCTGGTAGAGATATCTAGCAAAAGCAATGAAGCTGCAACTGTAGCAAAAGAAACTTGTGCAAAGATTTGACTTATGTGGTGGAGAGAATTTTGCTGCTTTTTAATAAATAAATTAAATTATTGTCCTTCTATTTCACAGTTGTGCATTACTTTGTGTTTGTCTATCACCGAAAGTACCATAATCCTTTCAACAGCAGCATGTATGTCTATAAACCAAAAGGGGTAAAGTTAAGTCTCCATGGAAATGTAAAATCCAGAGCTAAGTCTCACATCATCCCTCTCCCTGCTCATATTTTCCCAGGATATTGTTGTAGAAAAATTAGTTTTAACCAAGACAGCTGATTCCAATAAAGCTGATTCTGAGTGACAATCAACGGTCTGTTGATTGTCACTCAGAATCAGCTTTATTATAAGAAGCACTGGCAATGAAAGGTTTAACTTGGGAAACATGAAATACAGGATGAATGCGTAAACTGGAAGGTAGACGCAGAGCTGAGGGACTGATGACAGAGTCATTAGTGTAAGGGCCAATGAAATGAGGGGAAAGTTTTTTGGACATAGCTTTCAGTGGAATGTCTCTTGAGGACAACCAAACCTTTTGGTCAGGATGGTATCTTGGCGCAGGCTGCTGATTTCTTGTTCTGGTTTGCCGTACGAAGAAGTGCTCTCTCTGGTTGCATGTTCCCAGAAACGTTTGCAACGGCTAGATAGGATAGACTAATTTCCAACAGCTCATGTATTAATGCAGAATTATGTTGTGAGACAAGACAACCAGTGAAGTTAAAGCAGATATCTTAAGAATTGGTAAACCTAAATCAATCAAACAGGTTGGGTAAGAGTAAACTGGAACACCCAACGTGGGGCTCGAACCCACGACCCTGAGATTAAGAGTCTCATGCTCCACCGAAGCCGTTGGTATTCTAATAGAGGAAAGCGCAATCAGTAAATTTAGCCCTATATGAATAGTGTTATAACATAGCTGCAAGAGTCTGTCACAGGATAGACTATTTTCCAACAGCTCATGTATTAATGCAGAATTATGTCGTGAGACAAGACAACCACAGAGGTTAAAGCAGATATCTTAAGAATTCGTTAACCTACATCAATCAAACATGTTGAGCAAGTGTAAACTGGAACGCCCAATGTGGGGCTCAAACCCACGACCCCGATATTAAGAGTCTCATGCTCTTCCGACTGAGCTAGCCGGGCTTCAGAGCCTGTGTCTCAGTGTATACTTATCCAGATGATGTTGCGATAGATTAGATAGATAGATAGATAGATAGATAGATAGATAGATAGATAGATAGATAGATAGATAGATAGATAGATAGATAGATAGATAGATAGATAGTTTCTGGAGTACTTTGCCACAGACCATTCATTGCTCNAATGCACTAGCAATTTTCCCATTACTTTTCCCTGTGGGGTGAACTTCTTTCTGATTACGCTAAAAATCTTATGAAAATCTACATCCAATGTGTTGTTTGACCCAGTGTCCTCAATTGAACATTTTTTTCTTGTTACTGTACTAACCAGAAATGGAAAAGTTTTGAAAAAATAATATCAGACCAAAAACAGCCTCAACCATATGTTGCTGTGGACCACACATACTTTTCCTTCCTTTGAAGTTGCAAATTAATTCAGTTTTTTGATCTACCAACTAAGCTAACCAGGATGCAAACCTGAATTGTTAGAGTATACTGATCTACAAGCGCAATGAGTAAATGTAGGCCTCTATGAATAGTGTTTTAACATAGCAGCAAGAGTCTGTCACAGGATAGACTAATTTAAAACAGCTCATGTATTAATGCAGAATTATGTCGTGAGACAAGACAACCACAGAGGTTAAAGCAGATATCTTAAGAATTCGTTAACCTACATCAATCAAACATGTTGGGCAAGTGTAAACTGGAACGCCCAATGTGGGGCTCAAACCCACGACCCCGATATTAAGAGTGTCATGCTCCACCGAAGCCGTTGGTTTTCTAATAGAGGAAAGCGCAATCAGTAAATGTAGCCCTATATGAATAGTGTTATAACATAACTGCAAGAGTCTGTCACAGGATAGACTAATTTCCTACAGCTCATGTATTAATGCAGAATTATGTCGTGAGACAAGACAACCACGGAGGTTAAAGCAGATATCTTAAGAATTCATTAACCTACATCAATCAAACAGGTTGGGTAAGAGCAAACTGGAAAGCCCAATGTGGGGCTCGAACCCACGACCCTGAGATTTAGAGTCTCATGCTCTACCGCCTGAGCTAGCCAGGCTTCAAATCTAGAGTCTCAGTGTATACTTATCCAGATGATGTTGCGATACATTAGATAGATAGATAGATAGATAGATAGATGATAGATAGATAGATAGATAGATAGATAGATAGATAGATAGATAGATAGATAGATAGATAGATAGATAGATAGATAAAACAAATACAATTCTCTAAGCACAGAAAGAGAAGCTTATCTTTAAAGTGCCTTATTAGTTAAAGATGGTCTGAAGTACACATATTCATAGGGATTACCATGTCAGGAGTCATTTGAACCCACACCTCCTTTCAGAGATGTGTTTAATAATTTGAAGGCTTTGTCTTAAATCCATTGTGGGACGGAGCTAAGAATCATATAGGGTGCCCAATTAGGTTTGCTGATACAACAGCACACACGACCTCTTTTCAGTGTTATAGGCCTTGGTCTGGGTAACAAATGGCAAGAAAAATCTATGAGGTCTTGTCTATTCACGGCCCTTACAGTAGGTGGTGATAATGTACTGCAAGCCAAATTGACACTAATACAGTAGTTTCACACTAAAGAAGCGGAGATGTTACATATGCGAGCATGGATGACATGCAAGTACAACTTACACTATATGAGAACGATTTTCATGAAAACTAAAGGGATGATGACTGAATGCGCAACTCCCTCAGAATCAACACAGAAATTGTCATGTTGCCAAGCAATGAACAATGAGCAAGCTGGTGAGGCTATAATGTGACTGCACCACAAAACTGCAGTTTTTAACTGGATTTATGTTTTGGTGACAACAGCTGAATAAAAAACGTCTTGGGAAAAAATTTTACAAGTGGAAAGAAAATCTTGGTTTTATTTCTAGGTCTTTTTTTTATCTTGTGTCAAGCCCATAAAGTCAAGTGAATTTTTTTTTTTTGGTGGTCTTATTTTTCTAAATGTGTATTTTTGTTATACCTCTTATGGCCACAAAAGGGGGGTGCAGCCAGCTTGGTGAAGGTGAGTTCAGAAAGTTATATTTTGTTTAAAAAACCTATAAGTTTAGCTTCAAAAGGTTGTTTGGGATATTTTTATTCTAAAAAAACTTGAAAATGTTCTAATGAAGATTTTTTTTCTTCTCACTTGCCTTTCAGGGCTTCTGTAGCTAAATGGGTGCACTGCTCTAAAAGAGCTAAAAAAAAATCAGGATAATGAGCACTCCAAGAAATTCTTAAAATTTAATGTGGGCAGTAATGTGGGGACGTGTTTCGGCTACATACTGTCGTCAGTTTGTTACAGATCCAAGACAAGAATTGTATCTTTATAGAGGTTAGCAAACATCTAAGAAAATCTGAGGTAAACTAGGCAATCAGTCATATGAAGAAACATCTGTATGGACACTACCAGTTCAATGAGTGGCACTCAAGAAACAACAACACACAAAACATACAATACAAATATATAAAAATACATAGCAGTACATAAAATCATCAAATTCAGAAAAAAACTGTTTAACACCAGTTCAATGTTCAATCCATTTGGGTTTACTGTCTGTGAGGAATACATCCAAATTGCTTCTCTTTGTAGCAGGAGTTAATATCTATTCCCTCCTCTTTTAGGTGGAGGCACCACTTCAAACCTTGAAATTTCAATGAATAGATATCCTGGTCAGCTGTCATGAAATGTCTAGCAACATGGTATGTCTCATCTTTATTATGAACATTAGTTTTTATATTACTTTTCTAGAACTGCTGTTAAACAGTTTTTTTTATGTACTTCTATTCTTTTATGAACAGCATCCCATTTTGGGTTGAGGACTCAACAACTCCCTAAAACGTGAAAGTGGTCTGCCAGACAATCACATCCCCACCAGCACCTCAGTTTGTAACCTGTTTGTCTAGATTTTTGACTTGGAGTAATAAAATATCTTACCAATTTCACTGCAGCCCCTCGCAATTGTAGAACCAAAATTACGCTCTTGATCCCCGCTGACCTTACAGTGGTTCCCTTCCACAGTCTCCCAAAGAGTTCAGCCAGAACACATCTCTAGGATCATTCCTAGGTTTTAGCATTACTGGGAAACCCATTTTTCGCAGGTCATCTGTAGCTTGTTTTTAGGAATCTGATTCCCTTTTTCTGTCAGTACTTTCTTAATTGGCAGGTATTCTCTTTTATTTTTCATCTGACCTGATGTGTAATCGTGGTCGACAATGATCTTTTGCTCTAACCTCTTCTTTTGTGTTGCAGCTGAGGAGGAGCAGTGTCGGCAGGTTCACGTCCAAGTGCTTTGTGTTCCTGTTCGTTGCCAAGGTCAGACAATCCGAGGCTCTCGCCCAGCTCCTTTTTAACAGGTTCTTAACAAACAGGCCCATCGAGGTACCTTCTGCTCCTCACCTGATTTCATAGATATGTATGTTATTAGCCCAGAAATGACCCTCAAGTTCTGTAATCTTTGCTTGTAATTCCAGCTGACTATTTTTTTCCCTCCGTCTCCTGTCTGGTGGAATAGCCCTCAGAATTGTTGAAATTGAATGCTAGAAGGCCAACAGATTTACTTTCACAAGTGGAGCATTACGGCTATTGCTATAATGCTCCACTTGATATATATAAAAAACGTTATTAGAAACTGCTTTGGGATTATTTAAAATCCAATTGACAGAAACAGGTTGAGTTTGGGGTTTCCTTGTGTCTTAGTTCCACTACCTCTGTGTTACTTAGTCTCCCTCCCTCAGTCTTACCTTCTGCCTCTGCTGCTGCACATTATTCTCTAATTAACACTCCGGCATCCTATCTCATTCTCATGCTTTTGTTAGTATTTAGGTTCATTGTTGGTTAGTGCTCTTTGCTTGATCCTGTCGTTAAACTGTAGCCAGAACAACCAAAGACAACCAACACATACAAGGAGAACATGTGAACTATATGCAGAAAGACCACAGGCCTATTTCTAAGTTTAAGTAATGAAGTTACACTAATTGAAAATAAAAATTCACCAACCATCTGACTGGGCACCACAGTGGTTAATTACTGTGTCATTTATAGCTGGAAAAAATGCAGCTTTAACTCAGTGGATTGATACTTCCAGGCCTGATAAATAGTTTTGACCTAAAAGCAGCAGCTTATCACAAAAATAACATGTTTATCTAGAAACATATCTAGCGCTGAGTAGTGGGTCTCACCAGTACTCTCAGTTTGAATCTTTGTACTTAACTAATAAAGTTTGCTATAATTTGTGTCATCTTTATACACATACAGGGGTTGGACAATGAAACTGAAACACCTGGTTTTAGACCACAATAATTTATTAGTATGGTGCAGGGCCTCCTTTTGTGGCCAATACAGCGTCAATTTGTCTTGGGAATGACATATACAAGTCCTGCACAGTGGTCAGAGGGATTTTAAGCCATTCTTCTTGCAGGATAGTGGCCAGGTCACTACGTGAT